ATCCTTACCAACACTTGTTAGTGTGTGTGTGTGTGTGTGTGTGTGTGTGTGTGTGTGTGTGTCTTAATAGCCATTCTAATAAGTGTGAAGAGGCACCTCACTGAGGTTCAGGTTTTACTTTTCTCACCAGCTACTAGAAACAAATTTGATATCCGTCTTCAATAGATGTATATATTTTTAGTTTTAGTTCTAGTGGCTTTTTGTTTTCTGACTCACTTCTAAATATATACCACAGATTCTCAACCAGGGGTGATTTTCATTCCAGTCCTCCCTACTTTTGGAAGCTGGAGACACAACTAACTGAAAGAGAGGGTGCTACTGGCATTTAGTGGGTAGAGCTCAGGAATGCTGATAAACATCCTACAATGTACAGGACAGCCACTTGCAACTGTCAATAGTGCCAAGGTAGGAAACCCTGGATTATAAATTACATTTTATACAATTGTATATATAATATATATATATATATATATGCAATGAACTACTGCTTCTGAATTAAATGATTATTAACATTGTGATGATGCAGAAGGCATAACTTTCTTTTCATAATTACCTATGTATATTCAAATTATATATTTAAACATATTTATTGAATTAGTTGCTAATTAATTTAATAACCTAAAACAATGTGAGATGAAAATATTGCCATTACTATTTTCAAAAAATTACCATGTTGCTGAAGGAAATAACAAATCCAGGTATTAGGCCTTTCATTAAATTGAAAAATATATACTAGGCTCTCTGTTTGGCACTAGTTACACATAGGTGGAACAGGTGGATATGGTCCCTGTACCCACGGAGAACAAGCCTTACTCATGAATATCTGATGTTAGGCCACACATTTTTTTTTTTTTTTATGGTACGCGGGCCTCTCACTGTTGTGGCCTCTTCTGTTGCGGAGCACAGGCTCCGGACGCGCAAGCCCAGCAGCCATGGCTCACGGGCCCAGCCGCTCTGCGGCATGTGGGATCTTCCCGGACCGGGGCATGAACCCGTGTCCCCTGCATCGGCAGGCGGACTCTCAACCACTGCGCCACCAGGGAAGCCCTAGGCTACACATTTTTAAACAGTTTTTTTTTTTTTTTTTTTTTATGCCTATCCCCTTTTAAGTTGAATAGTTTAAGGAAACAGAAATTCTTATAAAATGGAAAACTTTAATTGTTTAAAGCAAAGGCACAAGTAAACATTTCAGGTTATCATACAATGTTACAATAAGAAATTCCAACAGTAAAATGAAATACATTATAATTTTGCATCTGTATAGTATATCTAATGTATTATTCTATCCTCTCTTTGGAGTGAAAAGAAGGGGTAGGTAGATCAATGGATCGATGTAAAAAGTTGGATTATAAATAGCATTCACTCCATTTTTAATCAGAAAATTTAATTTCAGTAGAATGAAATTAAAATTAATTTAAAAAACTTACTGTTTCATTAACGACAGAGCAGCAATAATTTTCAGGCTAAAGCTCATTGTTTTAACAAAGTAAATCACTGATTTCATGAAATGTTAGCTGTTGACACTTGGTACTTACACAAAAATCAAGCTGGTCATAAAAGGGCTTTACTAAAACACAATTCATACACTCATTTTACTTTAAATCTGAAAATTACAGTGCACTATGTAAAGATAAAGAAGAATAAGGAACCAAATCATTTCTTATGATGTCAGAAATAAAATACTTTAAAAGGTCTAGACCTTGTTTTCAATCAAAGGCACTATCTGGAGAGTAACAAGCTGCATTACATTCCAGAGCTAAGAAAAAGTTGTTTTTTCCTTCCCCAAATAGCCAACCAGTTAGTTAGGACTTGGTGTCTCAATTAGTCGTCAAACATTGAATGCTTAGTATCTATCAATAAAAAGGGTAGAAACTGTGTAAAGTTACATTTTTGACTTATTTTTCCAGGAAGAAAAAATTTACCACTAATTTTTTAAAAGGCTGTTGAAATATTTTCTTGATCTTTAAGGTCTCTGTTTCATCACCTCAATGCAATTTCCATTTTATTCAGGTGACTTGTAGTCTCTCTCAGCATTTCAACCCAGGATGGCAATGACACCAGAAAGTAACTATCCCAAGGGAGTAAGTTATCCTATTACATCCTAAAGGCCAGGAAGATTTTAAACCCTTCTAAGGAGTATTTGAAATCAAAGATCTTGAATGAGAAGATTGTCATCTCTAGTTTTTCATTACCCAAATTACAAGAGTCTCAACAGAGTAAGGTTTACTTACCATGATTCTTTTAACAACTAATTCCTAACCAGAAACAGTACTTAGGAAATTCTTTAAGAATATCTTTCAAAGTTTAGATTTGAAACATGGTTCTAGAAAGATGTTCTTACCTTTAAAGTCAAATTATAACACTGACTCAGTGAAGCATAAAGCATAAACCTAAAGGTCAATCAATGATGCATGTCCTAAAGAACAGTGCTAGGATTCTGGTATTCTTTCCTTTCTTTCTCCATTTCCAAAGGCACAGATACCCTTCCAAATTTGTCTATGGGTTCGAAGACTTTGTAATCTAAAATAGCTGGCACACTCTCCATGTTGAATAGTTACAAGTATAGGATCCACCAGGAAATTTTAGGTTTCCAAACCATTAGCTCAACAGCAAAAGCAAATGGTTCAGTCTTCTGCTTGAGACAAACTGAAGAGGTAAACCTACATTTTACAGTATCTAAATTAAGGTCTGCAAACTTTCTCTAAAGGGACAGATAATAGATATTTTAAGCTACTCAACTTTGCTACTGTGGCACAAAAGCAGCCACAGACAACATGCAAATGAATAAGCATGGGTATGCGCCGATAAAACTTAGACACTGAAATTTGAAGGTCATATGATTTTCATGTGACATAAAATATTATTCTTTTGATTTTTTCCTCAACTCTTTAAAAATGTAAAAATCATTCTTAGCTTGTGGGTCATGTGAAAACAGGATGTTGGCTGGAACTGGCTCATGGGCTGGATCATTCGGATTTCTTGATGTGGGGGGTCAAAGCAATCACGTGGCCATGAATCATCTCATTTCACTTGGGCATCAACAGCCTCTAGACTGACAGCAATGAACCCCAAAAGAGAATCCCAAAGGCACCAGTCAGACAATTCTAGGAGTAGTATCTATATGTTCATGAGCTGCGTAAAGCTTATGAGTGTTGATACTTGCATATCTACACATATAGATACATATCTATATAATATATTCAGGAAACAATTTAAATCAAACTTATTTAAATCACATTAACTGTCAGAAAAGCAGGGAATTGAGAAATTCATTAGCTGAGCCTTTTCAAATGCTTTGGTGTCAGAGCTATTTGGATTAAAATCTTGGCTCTGATTACTTACTAACTTGTGACCACAGGTAAATTACTTAACCACTAGAACTCAGCCTGGAGCTATGGAGACAATAGGCATGTTTTCAATCTTGTTTCGCAAGCAAAATGGCTATAAAGGGTTTGCTGGGAAACTCTTGTCTACGATGCACCTTAAGGCTTAACGCCTTGGTTTAGACAGAAAACTATTTTTGTCTCTTCTGTTCCATTGTGTCATGTAATTTTTTTTTCTCTGCATGCAACATATCGTGCAAAACTGTACCTCCATATTTACCGAATTCTACCTTCTTCTTATTCTTGAAGGTTTTTTTTTTCCCCCCCATAGGCTGCTGATGAAAATGAGAGTAGAAAGCATCCAGTCAACACATTTTTGTAGTCTTTCCATAGTACAAGTGTAGTTTGGGTGTTTCCTCTAATTTATCAATGACAGGCATTCAGTTTTCTAGGGAAAAAAAGTCTAGATAATAAAGAATTGGTAGGAAAGGATTCTTATGGCTTGCTTTATCTATAGATTAGTAACTAGAGAATCTGAAGATAATGTTCATAGATTATTTGCAGATACAACTGCTGTGTATTGTGGACCTCAGTCCATTGATTAAATTGTATTAAGTAGAATATTAGCACTAAGTAATGTGTGCTATTACCTCTCTAATCATGAAAAATTTATTAGTTACATACACATGAAGTAAAAGATTTCACCAATAGTGTCTTTGAACAAGCATCAGTTATGAATCTGCTAGTGTTGAATGCTAAGCAAAATTCTAAAGCTATTAAAATATTAGTGTTTGGTTTTATTTTCAATTTTCTTTTAACCTATTATTTACAGAGGTCCTTTTATAATGCTGAAGGCAGTCATCTTGCAACAGATACAACATAAAATGTTGCAACAGATACAACATAAAATGTTTAGTGTTGCATGGTGCAGATTTATAAATATGTACAAAACCCCACTATATTTGTAGTTAACTTACTACTCTGATTGGTAGGCAACACACCGAAGCATCATGTGCAAATAAAAATCTGAAATTAAAACAAAATTTAGAATTCTCAAGACAGATAACCATTAATTTGTGTTTATAAAACTATGTGAAGAAAAGGCTTTGCGTTTGGGAATTTTCAATGACCCACTAATAAAGCAGTAATTTTAGTTGAAAAAAAAATTCCCCAAACACAAAAAAAACAAGATAAATCAGATGTATGTCTTGGTCAAATGTGTGTAGACAGCCACCCTGAAAACAATCTGATAAACATAAATATACAATTTGTTCACTGAGCATAAAATATTGCACAAGAACTGTTTTGTCTGAAGAAAATTCAATTTTCCACAGTTCTGAACTTCAAAATGGTTCCCACATATAGATATAATTGCATTTTCTAAACAAGAAACACTAATATTTAGTAATACTGCTAGAACCTTATTTTTCCCATTAACCATATTCCACTCTACTTTATAGCAATGTTAAGTCAGTGGTGAAGATTTGGCAAAGATAAAAAGGCAGTTAAGATTGTAAAATATATATATATATACATATATACATATACATATACATATACATATATATATATATATATATATATATACATATACATATGAAACAGATATGTTCCAAAAACCCTTAGTCATGATAACTGATCCCTTAAAAAAATCCACAGTCTAGGTCACAGTGATGGTCAGACAGTGGTTGAGTACGACTCGCTTCTCAGGGGCCGCTCCTTTTGAACCACTTCACTGCTCTCTCTGGTCTTCAGCGCACTGTCTTCTGCTTCGCTTTCACTACCATCTGCCACAGTGGGGTCCAAAGACATCAGGCCAGATTTTCTGTGCAAAGGAAAACCAATGCCACTTTCCTGTAAGGAATTACCTATGAACTCTTCATCAGAGGAATGGAATGATTCATCATCTCCTATTAAATGGCTGACGATGTGGATTCCATCAAAAGGGGGTTGGCCGGAGAAGCCCCTCTGGCCTTTTAGGCACCTGAGCTGTTGAAACAAAATCCAAGTTAATATACTCAACTTGGGGAAATATACACACTCCAAGAAAGCAAACATTTCATGTTTAAGTAAGAAGATACCCTGATCTTTTTCCATTTATGGATATAAATAGTAACTACCAATTTTTTAGTGACTCTCACGTGTTATGCAGTGAGCAGATAACTTATTTTAATTGAATCACCACAACAGTCCTGTGTGGTTGATTTTATTATCTTCATTTTAGACATTAGGAGATAGAGACTCAGGTAGTGTAGCTTGCTGAGGACACGTAGCTAATACCCAAGTTTAGATTCAAACGGAACCTTTGTTATACTAGAGATAACATGAACTCCATGTGCCCATCACTTAATTTCAACATCTAACACATCATGGACAATCCTGTTACAATATGCCTCTCTTGTTCCTGGATTATTTTGAGGTAAATCCCAGCCATCCTATCAGTTCACCTGCAAATATTTCAATGTACATCTGTAGAAGATATGGACTTAATAAAGACAATACTCTGAACTATCACACACACTGTCTTAGAGCATGTCTCCATAGTTTTGTGAATGATGATAATGGTTTACAAATCAATAAAATTTGCTAGGAGTCTCCATCCTGTTATAATATCCTAAAGACCACCATACCACTATCACTCAATTAGGGCAGAAATGCTTCTTCCCACTATTGATATGTCCTTCTGTGTAGAGGGAAGGCCAGTGACGTATAACATTTTTGCCTTCTCTCCCCTATTCCTCCCAGGGAGAAGGAGTGACTTCTTTCACCAGGGGTAGGGAAGAGGAATGGCACATATTGCTCAGCTCTTTTCCCTCTCTTTCCATCTTTGGGAACCAGGTTCTGTTTCTCTATCCCTGGAATTTTATAGGGCCATACCCTTGTGTGGGAAGGGCTATGCAGATCAAATGCCACCTATTACTTGGGGGGCGGGGGCAAGTCTGACAAATTCTAGAGTTCAGTATTTGAAAAACCCATTGTTGCACACATCAAAACCACATTCTCCTAAACCAGTTTTATCAGTATTAAGGGTGATTTCTTTTCATCATCTGCCACTTCTTTGCCTAAATTCCCACAAATTCCCAAACCCACCACCACAGATACTACCACATCCACTATCATATAATTAAGACATCAGCTTCTCCTCAAGGGCTTATGTTTTAAATATAAAATTTAATTTTGATATTATCACCTGTTTAATTTCTCTCATTCACCATGAATTTTCTCCTACGATAAAGTAGAAGAGTTAAAAAAAATCCAAAACAATAAAAACCATTAACTATCAAAATCTACCTTTATTATCAAGAATTTGCTAAAAATATACTCCATGTCTCTTGTCCTTATCATTACTATCAACCTGCAATTTTATTTCTCCAGGACAAATTCCTGGTCACTGTCTTTCGAATCTTGAGATAAAGACAATGTGAAATATTCAGGAAATATTACATACACTTTCAAAACTAACGGTTCTGAGAGTAAAGACATTACAGCTTTGCCATAACACCTCCTAGCTTTCCTGACAGACTTCCAGGAAGAAGTGAAGAAACCCTAGTACTTCCCTGTTAGTATGTGACAATGGGAAACAAGAGGGATGCTGGGACTCAACACAATGATGTCTGCCTCAGGTAAACCTACAGCCATTAAGAAATTCCTGTGCCCTAGGCTAAGAGAACATCATAGTGAGGTTCAATGTAATTTAAGTAAAACCTTCCTCTTTGGCATAGCAGAAGGGATATAAACTTGGATATAAACTTGGAGTTGAATCTTTAGGGAAAGGGCACAGAGCACCACAAAGACCTCTCCGTGGTTGTGATACACACTGCATTACTACAACTGCCACACTCTGATGCAACATCCTATCACCATATTGCAACACATGATTTATAGCTCCAAGTGTAAAATTAAGTCAGTTGATGTCTTCCTTTTTCTTGTCCCCAAACCCTTTTTGAAGAAATAATATAGAGCACGTGTCTTCCTTCTTCCTGGCTATAAAGGAGGAGTATGGCGGAGGAACCACAACTTCCCAATTGTTTGGAAAGCTATAGCTTTTCTTTGCTCTACCAAAATTTATTGCAATTAAAACATTGTGGCCTCATAACAAATGTAATAATCGACCTCAAATATTATAATAAAGTGGACTACAGATTGAAGGGTCATTTATTCAATGTCAAAGGAGATGCAATTATTGCTTCTTTGAGAACTGCTAATGTAGAACAGCAAAGTCATCGAGAAATTTTTTGGTGGAAAGAAGAAAACTGTGAAGGGAAGGGACAGTAAAACTGAAGCTATATCCTAGTTATCCCCTGGACCTAGGAGTGTGCACACTGGTTCTGAAAGGGAAGAGGCCTGTGGTAGGCCCTGAAGGTAGACATCTAGGCAAGGAATTCCAGGGTACTGAGTACGTAGAGTATGGTCTCAGAGGGGTTAGACTTCAGGTGCGGATGTCCTCTGGGAGGGCATCCTGTGAAAAGGAGTTTGGCTGGGAGAGGACCAGAGCTGGGCCCTCTAAAGTGCTGTCTTGGTTGCCTGCATCTAAGAGCTGTACTGCTTACCCTTATTACTAGACTCTTGGGAACTAATTATATTTAAACAACAACAGAGACTTCCCTGGTGGTCCAGTGGTTAAGATGCTGTGCTTCCACTGCAGGGGGCATGGGTTTGATCCCTGGTCGGGGGAACTAGGATCCTGCATGCTGCATGGTGTGGCCAAATAAAAAGAAAGAAAGAAAAAAGAAAGAAAACAACAACAAAAAGCAGACAAGTAACCTTCATAACCCAACCCCCCTAGAAAAACTTTCAGGGATATTACCAATAACAAACTTAGATTAGCATATCTCAAAACACGGCCCACTGATCATTAGCATTAGGATAACCAAGTATGCCTATTAAAAATGTAGAATCGCTCCCCATATTTAAGGATCCCAAATATGGAGAGTAAAACCCCAGAAACGATATTTTTTTACAAGCATCTCAGGAGATTTTGATGTATTCAGAGAATCACTGTGGCAGATCCTATGTTCAAACCAAATGGGGCTGACTCAGAAAGGAGTTGATTTACCTGAAATGCAACTATCAATTATGCAGGACAAAAGTGCTCCTGAACTATGAACATCTGCCTGTTTGTGTCTGGTATACACAAATGGACACCATCTTTCAGTAGTACAACCAAGCTGTTCTGGGCCAATTCTACTATCTGGTGGTTGAAACAAGGAGCGGTCTGTTGAAACCTCTTTTCCTGAAACTTTTTTCTGGTCTAAGGGTAGAGTCTACGAATGTATATGTTCAAAAAAGCTGAGTAATTTTGATGTACATCCTAGGATAAGGACCACTCTTTAGGCAATGTTTTTTTGTTTGGTTTTGTTTGACATCTTTTTTGGGTCAATCACAGGATAAAGAATCTGACGAAAGCTATTGCCTTTTGTCTTGAAAAGTATACATACATACTAGATGGAGCATACCCTTTTGAGGCCCACTGTCTTTCTAATTTTAGGTTAAAGACTACAGGAATATCTTCGTGACACTGGGAACAGCAATGACAAAAACTTCAATTGTGAAATACACTCATATTGTGGAAAAGAAAAGAACGTATTATTTTTCTGGGTGAAATTAGACATAGGTTTTAAAGTCAATGAATGTGCCTAGAAGTACTTTTGAGATTCACCAAGGAAAAAGAGGCACCAGGAGTCTCTGAATTGTATGTAAAGGGATTCAGGAATCTCTGGATTCCCCAAAGAAGAATCTCAGCAGGATCATCCTACAATGACGGTCATAGTCAATGAATCCTACCCAGGCATTCAGAACTTCCTGTCAGATTTTTAAGCTCTTTAGTCTTTTTTATTTTTTTTATTTTTGGCTGCGTTGGGTCTTCGTTGCTGCGCGCCGGCTTTCTCTAGCTGTGGTGAGCAGGGGCTACTATTCGTTGTGGTGCACGGGCTTCTCATTGCGGTGGCTTCTCTTGTTGCGGAGCATGGGCTCCAGGCACGCGGGCTCAGTAGTTGTGTCCCATGGGCTCTAGAGCACAGGCTCAGGAGTCGTGGCACACGGGCTTAGTTGCTCCGCGGCATGTGGGATCTTCCTGGGCCAGGGCTCGAACCCGTGTACCCTGCATTGGCAGGCAGATTCTTAACCACTGCACCACCAGGGAGGTCCTTAAGTTCTTTAGTCTTAAAGTTTGAGTAGAGAGTAAAGTATTATCAGACATTTGAGGAAAGCATCTAAGAGAAACCAGAAAAAAAGAAACTAGAAGTTAACAGACTATCTGTGAAGAAGAAAACTTGATGCTGCATCCATGTAAAAAAAAAAAAAAAGTGATAGTCTACCAAAGGGTCTTAGACATAAATTTCTCTGACCTGAAAGACATGTGCTTTGAAATTGAAAAAGTTGTCAAGTGCCCAGGACAATGGATAAAAGTAGACCTATACTACAGTACATCACAATGAAACTTCAGGACACTGGGAACAAAGAAAAGACAAAGCATCCAGCCGAAAACAACAAGTTTTACATAAAAGATTATGAATCAGAATGGTATCAGACAATTACAGCAGTGCCTTCAAAATTCTGAGAAAGACATTTCTAACCTATATTTTAAAAAATTGTAATTACCTTAAAAAATTTTTTTATATCCATACAAACTATCAATTAAATGTGAGGCTAAAATATGAGTTAAAAGCTTAAAGGACTTGAACCGGAATCAGATGAATCCTTTTTATAGTTTATCTTCCATCGTTTTTTCTACCCCCGCCCACCCAAAAGATAGGTGATATGCTCCACCAAAAGGAAGTACACCAAGAAAGACATCCTTTTGCTTTTGATCCAGGAAAAAGGAAGTCTAGTACAAAAGTGAGGCAAAAGGAATTCCTAGAATAACAAAAAAACCTCCCAAGATGACATCTGTGCAGGAGGCCTCCAGGCAGCCAGACCTCTTTGAAGAACAGCAGGCCAGAGGAAAGATTTCTTCAAGAAGGTGAGATTAGTAGTACACATAAATTGTT